GGTCTCGGCGAAGGTATTTGAATAGACTGTCCATGTGTACGCTGATAACGCCAGTGATCGTCATATACATAGCGCAGAGGTAAAGGCCCATAACTTATTGCCATTTGCAGTCTATGGCGACATGGAAGGCCATTTATCCTCTCAAAAAGACCTGAACAAGGCTTTTTACTGCTTGGCTGTTTCTCTTCCTTTTGACGCATAAGTTCCTGTTGTCTGATACGTTCGACTGCAGGCGGTGTGATTATTGTATGAATATTAGACGGCAGGAACGGCATCTTCTCATGCATATGCTCAAACTTGATGTTATGCATAGATGAGGCGATCTCCTTCTCATATTTATTGTACTGATTATGGATTAACTGCTCAATTCTCTGAACAACACGTAGTATATCGCCAGTAGAAATCAGTAAATAATCCTTTAGTACTTTATGCATTCCTTCAACAGGAGAAGTTGTAATTGTATCATAGTGTCGATGATAGGATATCCAAGCCTTCGCCCATTAAGCGCGTGTTTCATATTGATTCTCCTTTAGATACCTGCATAGTTCTTCCTGATGCTGATAATCATTAAGAAGCTTATCCCACTTTATTTGAAAGTCAGGGCGCTTAGGTGCGAAGACGACCTAGTTTGTTAGATTATTAATAATATTGTTTAGGTGTGACATACCTGGTTCCAGCGCTTCAGAAAATTCTGACGTTCTTCAGCAATTGCCTTCTTTTCTTCTAGTGTTGTACCATCGGCGTCTCTCCATACAAGTTGAGCCTTTGTCTGGACATTCTTGTTGATATGCCAAATATAAAGAAGCTGTGGAATATTTGGAAGCAATCTACGAGCTGCCTGCTTTATTGCTTGTTCTTGGTCGCTTATAAATACGTGTGGATGTGGCACTCCTGTGAGTGAGAGAAAGGTTGAGAGTGCCCAATAGTAGTCTTCCTCCGTCTCATTACAAAGAAAGCAGAAGCCAATAGAGAAAAAGGTCTGAAGATTGGTGCAGCTAAGTATGTGTAATAGTGGAAGCTTATACTTATTAGTTCGATATGTGCAATCCATTAAAAGAACATCAGGATTTGCTAATAGCAGTTTGATCTGCTTTTGATGGATAAAAAAGAGGCGTTGTATATGATTCTCAGGGTCCCTAGTTAAAGAGAAAACCCAATCTGATAATAATAAGTCGTCTAATACTGTGTTAATTGGGCTTCTTCCATCTAGGTGCTTTTGTCAGATGGCCTTTCTTTCTGAGCGAACATCTGAGGCAGAGACAAAGGTATGCTGGTCATCTTGTTGAAGGGCTGCCATTATCTGCATTGGCCGAACTCCAGCATATGACATAGTCTTGATGACTTCTTTTTGCTTTTCTGTACGTTTGCGATAGATGTTATGAGCCATTAGATTAATAGATGGGGCATGATTGTGCTGCTTGACTTGGACTTCCAGTTTCCACTGATCGTTTTGGGTATCTTTAAAAATGACAAGCTTAAAAGGACACCCTGTTGCACGTGTACTTGTGCTTAGAGTCTTTGCTGTTGACTTCTAGACTCTAAAGCAGTCGCATTGATAGTAATATCGTGTTTTAATATCAGAGTAGTGAGGCTTACTCCATTTAAGTACAAAGCTGTACCTGTTTTAGATACCATGACTTTTGAGAGAGTTATATGCTTCATCATAAGAGCTATAAATAGAGTCTGGCGGGGCAGGAATATCTTCCATAGTTGCTGCTGGTAATTGAAGAATCTTTATAGATACAAATTCATTGATGAAGTTGCCCCTAAAGCGCGGCGTGTTATTATGCGCTAAGCCGTTTACAGTGATTTAAATTACATTACAGCTAGCGGGGGGGACAAATCTCAAAGGGGGGACAAATCCCAGAATCGGGGGGACAAATCTCAGCAGCCGCTTCGCCAGGTGTCACAGGTCACGTGCACCTGACTAATCTAGCGCCTTATTTAGCCATCGCTTGAGCGAGATCACTTAAGAAGATACAACCACAACCAACAACCACAACCCACAATGATCTCTCACATTGCAGATAGTCAATAAAAGGACCACCTCCTATCCTCTCAATTATCTAGTTTTCCATCCATCTATCATCTTCTGTAGCTCGTTAATACGCCGCGCACAGCAGTCCTCAGCACTGCCTAGCATCGCTAGTGCCACAGTGCGACAATATGATTGGCTCTGGGGACGAAAAGCTAATGGTAAATGCAGAAGCGCTCATTAAGTCTTGGCATGAGCACGCTCACGGTGCTCATAGATGAGCAGCATAAGCGCTCCCTTGGCGCTCATGAATTAGCGTGATGAGCGGTATTTTCCTATGTCTATAAAAACACTGGTTTTTCCTCTCATTAAACAAATCGTAGTTTAACTGTCTAGTATATCTAGTAGTTAGTTTGAACATTCTCTCATACTTGAAGCTCATACTACTCTAAGTCATAAAACTTGGACTAACTTATTTCTCTTCCTTTCTGAATAAGTCTTAGTTCCACATTGTTCCCTTTTGCTCTAGGAAGCCAACCCTTTCCGAAGTGGCTTACATTAGTGAAGCTAGTCGGTATTGGGAAAGTGTTCCTAACAAGACCTAGGATATCAATATGTACTGTCAACTAGCTATTATATATACCAGCAAGCTGTCATGGGGTCACCCTTATGACACGTGATAGGCACTATTCTATTGCCTTACCTGAACCCAAATATCAGCCAGCACTAGCTAACATAACCTGATAACAGCTAATACAACCCAGTGTTGGCTTTCATCAGGTTATATTGGCTAGTACTGGCTGATATTTGGGTTCAGGTAAGGCAACAGAATAGTGCCTATAACATGTCATAAGGGTGATCCTGTGATAATGAGTTCTGACACCAAGACTACCAGAACGACTACCAGAAACGGTATACCGTTTTTCCTCCGGTATGGTATGGTATATACCGTTTTTTTCGGTACGGTATATACTGCTACCGTGGGGCACCCTAGTTGCACTGCATATGCAGGCTCTGCAGCTGACGAACCGCCGTATAACAGATTGAAGAATCACCACTCGCAGACATTAGCTTATGAGATGATTACGGCCTTGAATAAGCATGATGAGTTTGATCTCTGAAGGAACGCTGATATTCCTCGATTCGAAGGAATTGTGCTGCATCATCGCTTACGCCATCCGCTTGGTTTCCAACTAGCTCAGAGGATACGGCGTACAGGATTGCAGATCTTGTCTATCACTCTGCCCAACATAATGCATCCTGCATGCAGATTCAGATGTCATAATACAATAGTTTCGCAATTCGAAGCCTTCGTGCAGCCGCTGAACCTGCAGACGGCAGGATACCGATATTAATGGATGTTCCATTCACCATGCTTGGCATGCCAGCATATGAGTGTCGACTTGCGCTTCCGTGACACCTTTCACAATATTCTTTTTTCCTCTTTGCAGCCCAAAATGTATTGACGAACGTTCACTTGCCGATTGTTTCTTCTCGTGGGGAAGGAATGCATTTTTAGCTGCAATCCACCAAATCATTATCAAGTATCTGACATCTCTACAAAGAGTGGCTACGAAACTCCCTTCACTCAATCCTTAAGGTGCCTCTTAAATCCTGGCGCTGAATTCTGTTACTTCTACCTTATCTATTCACCTCTCCCAGCAAAATAGGACAAATAAACTTGGCCGTGACTTGTAGATGATCTGTTATGGTGACGAGAGCAACGCTCATCCATTTCGAAGTTTGCAGGCTCAACAAGTCTCACTAACATTCAAGCGACACGCTCTCTTTCGTGACGTGGAAGTTCCTAGATTAGCTTCTCATCTAGGATGGTATAAGCTCTCAACATGGGATTCCCAACGGCGTAGCATCACAGATTTGAGTCTAGTAGCAATCTCAGTGGTATGTTGCTCCAAGTTACACTTCTGTCTCTTTGTAGTCTTTCAGAGATGGATGAACATCTCAAAATGGTCCTGAGCCTTGGTTGACTGGGGCGAAGATTCAAACACACCATGACCCTTAAGAAATGGAACTTGCGATACTTTTATTACATGAAACGAACCAATAGCAAAAACAGAGATATCTTATCAAAAGCATGATAAATTTCCTGACATATTCATCGTGTCCTACCGTGAATAAGAGAATTAAACTCAGTTGATATTCTACGTTTAGATATGTCACGAACGGCGTGACAGCAGCGTGGCGCGGGCGCCACGGGGAGTAAAAGCACACATAGCTATCGCATGACTACTCATATATTCGAGACTGGTGCGGACGGGTTGAAACCCCAACCGTAAGAGGATGAGACGCCTACGCGGCCCCTGCGCACCTGTGTATTTAAGGCAGCTCGAGGACATACGTTCGAGAGCTAGCGGATATTCTTGAATCCTACAATCTATCTCACACTCCTATCACCAATTCCTTACAAGATAATTCACTGACAGCATGGTGATTATGGTATACCTCAGGAAATATAGTATAAACATTTTTTGACAAGTCATGCACTATCTAACTAGAACCTTTAGTCATCGTCTGATACGAAGATTCAATAACCTTGCAAAATTGCGAGGCTGGCCCCCAAAGGCTAGAGGCGATGCCAAGGTGCACAACGACACGAGTTCTTACCAGTATTATATGCTAAGCCGTTTACAGCGATTTAAATTACATTATAGCTAGCGAGGGGGACAAACCTCAAAGGGGGGACAAATCCCAGAATCAGGGGGACAAATCACAGCAACCTAACTAGGATGGGTCAGGGTAAATGAAAAATCAAATCAAATCCCCTCTACGAGGACTACGACAACGACTGCGGAGGCGGATAGGACCACGTCTTAACAGCCTATCGTCTTTTATATCAGAAGATATAGCAGATGGAGAGCTACATGCTATACTTGAATTTGCTGAAGAGTCTGGAAGGTTCCGCAATAGAGACCTTTGATAATAAAGCTAGGTTACGTTTACGCTATAAATAGGGTGAGAGATGAGGTTACTACAAAGAGACAACTCTAAGCAGGAACAAAACTTCAGGAAATAGAACCGTAAAGAGGAATGTGAATAGATCATATGACTCGTATGTAGCCTGCATATCCTAACTAGGATGGGTCAGGGTAAATGAAAAATCAAATCAAATCAAATCGATAAGTGACGCGCCTATAACAACACTGGAAACAGCAGCCCGTACAGCTAATCTATTTTGCTTCCGCTGCGAAGATGACATCTCAACTCATTAGCCTTAGGAAGTCTGGAATAACTCCAACAGGCTGAAATGGGCTATAAATTATCATCATCATCGTCATCATATACCATAGAGTGCGTTACGTTATCGACATTAAGCAGTCGGTCGCCCAAGCAAGACCATAGAAAATCATGCGTTCACTTCAGGCATGCCTAAGCAGATAATGAACGGAATACCCTAACAAAGAGTAATACGATTATCATGGATTTTCAAATTTGCTAGCCCAAGGCAATTTAGCTGCTGTGGCCTTTGGAAAACAGTGTTTGTATGCATAGCAACTTAACGGGTGTGCTGGGATATATTTCAGCCAGCATTATCTAATTTTGGATCAATCAGCCTTTGTATAAATTGCATCCATAGCAGCGTCATAGATTGTAGCCATAACTTAGTTTCGTTGAAATTCCTTCAGCTCTCTATGGCGATCACAAAAGCAGATTTGAGTAAGTGGATGATTTCGTACGCATTGATATCGTCTAAGTAGATCAGAGGCAAAGGAAGCGGCTCGTAAAGCAGCACAGGGTGGGAAAGCCCCACGCAAACAACTTGCCGCAAAGACTAGTCGCAAATCCGCTCTTCGGAACGGTGGAGTCAAGAAACCTCATCGGTACAAGCCTGGCACTGTTGCTCTTCGAGAGATCCGTCGTTATCAGAAGTCAACCGAGCTTCTCATCCGTAAACTTCCCTTTCAGCGTCTTGTTCGTGAGATTGCCCAGGATTTAAAATCAGACTTGCGTTTTCAGTCATCAGCAATCAGCGCATTACAGGAAACCGCTGAAGCTTACCTCGCATCGCTCTTTGAGGACACCAACATATGTGCAATTCACGCAAAGCGTGTTACCATTCGTGAGCCAAGATTCGCTGTGTGCTATAACTTGCTTGCTAACTTATTCACAGAGTCAAAGGACATTCAGCTTGCCAGACGACTCCGTGGCGAGCGAGCGTAGAGATATTCCAGTTGATCTATATGGAAAACAGTCCCAGGGTGTAACAGACATGAATCATTGTTGCACTGTGGGTTAGCTCAAGCTAGGCAGTTCTTGTGATTGCTGTTGTGCAGCGTTCTAAGGAAGCAGAAATGAAGCGAAAAAAACAAGTATTTGTTTATAACTGTATAGATTTATGTGTATAACGTCCGTTCTTGGGTCGCGGGACGCACCCCGAAATGGGACGATTTATCTCCGTCGGTCTTGTATTGTTCGTTCGCAAACATACAGAAACAGAACAAATAAGATAATTTTATCTGTGTTATTCCTCTTCAAGATCAAATTGGGTCCAAGAAAATTACAATGATTTTGATCACGCTACTGATCTTTTCATTAGCATTATCACTAGCTGCACCAAATCCTCTCCCTTGCTTCATAAAAAGAAACACCTCTTTAATTAAATTCAAAGCTATTATATAAACTATATACCAAAGGAGAATATTGTTGTGCAATCTGGAGATAATAATCCAAAAGCCTAAATACTCTGAGCTTGACTGAGTTAAAGACCGGATTTATCACTGATACATGACTCAGGCCTGTACTCCTATATTAGACTAGCTTGCTTACCTGATTGATTGATTAATCCTACACGGTTTCAGCCACTTCTTTTGTCGCGTAGCTATGCCCGGCGGAGGATAATGTGGCCTCAGTCTACCAGCACTTGTTGAGAAGTTGGTGGATTTTGGACCATGTGACGCTTGGTAATCGGCCGACACGCATTAGGCTAGGCCCGACACGCCCCACTTCGCCTTGTTGTGGAAACAAGACCAGCCGACCCTTACGCTCCTCATCTGTTTTCCATCACCACTATCTACAGCCGGTTGTCGCCGCCTGTATCATGCTGGCTAATCTACTAATACTTGCTCTAGTATTCGGCTCCTGGAGGCTTGAGGCCTCTGTGTTGCATCCAGCGTACCTTAATCCCCTCAATGCTCCGCATTGTCTGTTACGCCTCTCTGTTCACCCTCTGCCCTGAGGGCATGTTCCATAAGTCCGATGGCTTCAATGGCTAAACTGTGCCTGCTCAGGATGGCCCTGAGGTTGTTCCTTCCCGGTTGCCCTTTGAAATGCTGTTCCCTCTTGTCCTTGAGCGACTTGCACTGTAGTAGGACGTGCATAACAGTTTGCGGGCCTTGGTGGCACCCCCGGCAGGTCGCGTCCTGGTATCCTGGTACTCTCCGGCTGGCCAGGAAGTGACAGAGACCGATCTTCCTGGTCCTCATCTGTACCAGGAGAGCGCTCTGTCTTTTGCTTAGGTCCTTGTGTAGCTTTAGAGTGCGTTTGGAAGGCGTTGGGTTGTGGCGGTATGTCGCCCTACCCTTGCTGTCCTGTGCCCACTCCCTCTGCCACATTGTGGTTGCTTTCTTTGCTGTCCACGTCTTTAGTGTTGCCTTAAGAGCATATAGCTCTGCAGGCGGGTCTGCTTTGTCGCCCCTGGCACCCTTCCCTTCCCTCCATAGCTTGCTTACCTTATCAGGCTCTAAAAGCTTGTCAGTCGATGCACGTGCCAATATCACGTGACATGAGGAAACGCTGGGGAATTGATTCGGACCACCTCGATCTTGTTTTGGACCACCTCGCCCTAGGCCGCATTGGTCATCATTTAGGGCGAGATAGCAGCATGAATAAAATTACGCTCGCTTAAAAACAATACATAGCAGATTTGAACCAGCTATACCAGCTATTCATGTGTGGGTGATGTAACACCAGGACTATTCAGACCACCCAGTCAAACCTAAAACACTTTCGTCACCTATAAGACTGTGCTTCGGACAAATACCAGTGCGGCGACCCTCATTTTCGTGAGGAGACTGCCCTGTCTCAAGTGTACCCGATCTGACGCGCTTCAAAAGGCCAAATTCGCGCCCATAGCCATCTTGTATAAGGAAGGAATCAATACCACCTGCGCTCTTTATCAAGGTGATAGCTGGATTACCTTTAAAAGTGTTCCATAGCCTCTCCTCATCCATGCCAGCGTCTTCAATCTCATCTGTACCAACGAATGTCTCGACCACTGTCCAACCGGACGGCCACAAGTTTCTGCCATCTGATGTCAAACGGTTGTTCCCGCAGCAAATAGAGTCCCCATGATCAATAATTGAGCTTTTTAAACCCATAGAGTGGCAGCTAGGTGTGCAGCGCCTCGAAGCTTTCCAACATCCACATCGCCCATTGCATTTCTTCGAGCATAAACAAGGAGGGCCTGGCTCATCCTGTAATGGTTGTGGTTTCTTCGGCGTGCGTTGGACGGAAGGCACTTTGGAAACATAAGTATACTGGGGGGGTTTATCTCGGGGCAGGCGACACCTTGAGGGTAGTAAGTCACTGTATTCCAGCTCGTAAAGCGGACGTGCAAATCCTCTGGACTTTATCAGCCTCGCAATTTCGATCGCTTTCATGCGCAGCTTATCATTCTGTTCAATATCAATCTGGGCATATATTCTGTCCTCATTCGCGTCTACCCTTTCCGGCTTATAAGCTGAACCTTCCGCTACACTTTCAATCTGGCTAGGGTCCTTATTGTGATGACCTTCTTGAGATATAGATGATTGAGTGCAGTGAGTTTCCGATGATATGACACCCCCACTGCTGTCCTTTGCAGCTTGTGGATCTAGCATAATATCCTGGTGGATAATTTCCAAATTATCATCCTCTGAATCAGAATCAGCCAATTCCGAATCGCTACATAGATATACGGGGTCATCTAGCTCCTCTACTGTTGGTAAGGGCTGTGCTGTGCTCGAAGTCGCTTAAATATAAGATGTCGCCTCATTTATCTTGCTCTGTGCAAGCCGCAGTGCCGCAGATTCGTGTAGAATTTCTCTTTCAAGATCATCATGAGTTTTTCTAGTTGTCTTTACACGAGCCTCTGCTAGTCTTCTTAGAGTTCCTCTGCGAGGCAAGTTTATCGGTTTGGATCGTTTGAGCCGTGTACCCTTCAACCATACCCATGGTGATCCTTCTTCCTCTTCTTGCTGAACAGGAGATATCTGAGGAGAAGGAGGTGGCGGAAGAGAGTCGTGGAACTCATGGGCAGTATCTTCTGGTCGCGCTCGTCTTGGCTGCCGATGATGTTGTCCAGACTGGGAAGCTTCCTGAATTTCGAAGAAAGACGGTTCTCGTCTAGTACCTCGGGGACCACCGCCATATAAACCCCGCCGCGGGATTCTTGCTCCATGGCGCCGCTGAGGTATTGGTATAGGCTCTCCTGGGCGGGTTTCTAGCGTATCAAGAGGCTGGTCGCGATCAAGCCACCAGTGGGGGTGAAAATCTGCTATTGTTAATGGAGTGGCAGTAGCAATTCGTTTGAGAATAGTATGTTTGCAAGGGATACCAAATACTATAGCATATAGACCTTTACACTGCGAAGTTGTCTGCTCAGATGCAGCAAATTTCTGACACTGGCCAAGAGCATATTTATGAATCTTATAGGCAACGGCATCGTAGATTGCACCTCTAGTATTGAAAGCTCTACTTATGATGCCTTGACCTTTTGTATTCTTATACTTGGTATGTTCAGCATCCCAGAGATTTCGCATCAAACGGAAGAAGCAAAATAGGTCATTGCGGGATGTTTGAAGGTATCGCTTAACTTTCGCATGGCAGCCCTCTGCTTTCGAAGTCGTGATAGTGCCAAAGTGCGTGAATTTATTTGTATATGCCCGAACAATCTTCTCCTTGTATAGGTCCAGCCACTCGTATTCACAGTACTCAGCTACTGCTTGATGCTTAGTACGAAGTATTTCAAGCCGTTCGATAAGGATGTCTTCTGTCTCTGACTCGACCAGATGATACCAAGCAGCCATAAATATGGAACATGCTTCAGAGTCTTTAGTGACAACACAAGACTCTGTAGACTTCTCCATATCTACAACCTTTGGCATATGCACCCGTGCTCTAGTGAGCACATTCTTGTTAACATGCCAATAGCAAAGTAGAGTAGGGACAGAGGGAAACGTGCTCGCAAGAGCTCGAAGTAGCGCAAGATCACGATCAGTGACGAAAACATTCGGAGCTTTAATATGGTTTGCGTGAAAGATTGCCTTTAGCTGCTCGAGTGTCCATTCATAGTCATCTTGTGTCTGGCATGCTTAAGTTAGTAACTGTAGTGGAATTATAACAACTATAGGCCCACAAACCTCATTGTGCTGGAAGCATAGCCCGAGGTTGAATATTGTATTCATCCCAGTACAGCCGACTAGATCCAGAAGCGGGTAGTTGTATCGATTCGTCTTGTACGTGCAGTCGAGAATCAGGACGTCGAAATTCTCCTTGTATATTGCCAGGGAGCGTGGATGAATGACTAGTAAGTGACTGAGGGTCCCTGCTTTCTCATGATTTTCTGGAAAAGTTTGATGAGGGTAGTAGTAGCCACTGTCTTCTAGCTCAGAGAAAAGGGCTTCCACAACGGATCTCCCTTGTAAGGCTCTAGCCTTGGCCTGAACTCGCTTATTGAAGATATCCTGTTTAGTAATGAGAATATTGGGGAACTGCTGTTGCAGTTGCGCATGCGTTTGACGAACAGCACAGCCAGCCCATAAGTCCTGCATGATTCTTTCCTTGACTGGGGTTTCCCGTTTCCTGTGCGCTGCGTATGTGCCTACCGGTGCAGGCCTATGATTATATTCCCCTTCTCTTATTGTTAGGCGCCACCTTCCATCTGATTGTTCTTTTCCAATATAACTCACGCGGCACCCCGTTTTTTTTGATGAATGGTTCGGACGCTTCCGATTCTCCTCAGTGAGCTTCTATTTATTCGCCAGCTGACCATAGCACACGCAGGCAATGATGATAGACTTGCTATACGCATTCGACTTCAGAATTGAAAGAGCGTATCCAGCTTGCTTTGCATGCTCTTTACAATGCATCAATAGATCTTCTTTTGAGCCATATAAGCCTTCTGGAGGCGGCTCTAAAGATAGAGGCATCAGGGCAACTGGTTAGTCGGCTGTAGTTGACTC